CGATGCTCCTAGTGCTTGCCGAGGACTCCATCAGCACTGCAGTGGGTGAAGGGCACTGGGGTCTCGCCGTCCTTCACCCACCCTGGACTCAAGGCCAGGATCTAGCTTCCAGTGGGCAGACCTCTCTTCCTCCAGAGAGCGTAGCAGGAACAAGAACAGCTCTTACAAGAGCTTACCCTGGGGAGTATATTATGATTATAGCAATCCCCAGAGTGTAGTTATCCCATCCCCCAAGCATGAGCCAGTGCTTCCAGAAAGGGTCAAGCAGGTCTGTATAATGTAAGCCAGCATTCACAATTTATACAATTCCTCAGGCCAGAGGCACACCCCCTGGGCCTGATGGATCACAGGCACACAAACCAATCAGAACAATACAACAATGTCTGACACTCCCACATACAGCACACAAGCCCTGTGCTCTGCCTATGATACGATTAACTAAGACAATGGACTAACTCAATTAACGCTAAGCATAAAAAACATACATTTTTACAAACCGCAAAAAGTACCCCAAAATACAACATATCCCCACAAAAGTCCCCTGGTAGCCCCGATCTGGGTGAACAGCATATCCAAAAATCACCCAGATCGGTTCAGGGGTTCAGGAATTTCCTGGAAGTCTTATTTTTGCCCCACCGTGCACATGGTCCCATGCCCAAAACAGTTCCATACACTCGATGGCATAAGACTGCTGGACAAGTTAAGATGGCCGCCGCCACATGTTTGAATCTGTTCCAGTTAAAAGTCCAAGGGGCAGAAACAGAGCCTTTAAAATCCAATATGCCCAAATAGTGTTTTTAAAGGGCAATATATCCCAGGGGCCATAGTCACAGGGCAAGAGGCTGGCAAGCAGGCCTCTCCAAATCCCAGTGACAAAGGTGCTTTCATCACAGGCTCTATGATAAAATAGCTCCTCTCCTCGATTAAATGGCAATAATGATTTATTTTATTGGGTATTGATGATCTCAACTAGTGTTATGTGTGTATTTCAATTAGACAAGTATGTAGTTTTATTTTCATGTCTGTATGTGCAGTGACTGTATGATTTAGTATTTTTTTCTAAATGCATGCCTCAATATTGGCTGCCTAGGGCAGTGGTAATATCCCTGTCTTGATACCACGGAACTCAGGTTTGAATCCCAATCATACCACTTTACCAGTAAATAAAATATAATTTAAAGTGTTGCTTAATATGTTGGTACTAGATTATTAATAATTCTTGCTTCGCATATAGATATTTTTATAGTTTTTCATTTAGTTGGTAATGATGCATTAATTATAGCTATGGAATTGGCAAAGAAAAAATGTCTTCCTTAACATATATTGGACCTGCCATGGTCTACAACATACAGAGAATGATTATTTGGCATTTACGGGGAGTTCTGTACACCAGTAGTAGACATGCCCTCACTATTTTGTAGATGTGCTTACACTGGTTGATATGCCCACACTGTGTGGGTGACAGTCACTCACTTTTTAGGTGACATGCCCCCACTGTGTGGGTGTTATGCACTCACTTTTTAGTTGACTGGCCCACACTGTTTAGTGGAGTTTTCATGTTTTTACACATGTAAACCTATTTATAAACAGCTTTTTGCTGTCAAATTCGACAGGCCCAATTTAAGGTCTTTTCACCCAATTCAACATTTTCAGTGGAAAATATATAAATGGTTTCAAACGTTTTTCAAAATTACCCTGAAAGTCAAAGTCACATGAACTGAAAATCATCTGTTCCCGATAAGCCTTAAATTAAATCACTTGCTAGAGCCAAACAATCACTATTATCAACTTTCAGCTGATATTAAAGCAACCTCATGCAGGGTTATTACTGAAAGTAAGAATTCAAAGTGAGTTCAAAGTGAATTTTACATTTACGGTCAAAATATTAAAAATTTTCATCTAGTCATTTACACTGTCAGTTCGGCTACACTGGACTCAAATTTGAGTTCTCACATTAGTGAATAACCCTGATTGTGTTAATTTTATTCCCTAAATAAAATACTTTGTATGTGAGTTTGTGTATACCTCAGTTTAGCTTCTGTGAGAACAGCATACCAAATGTTCATCTATTACAAAATGTGAATTTGAGATAACTCTTTTGTCCTTGAATTATCACATATGTCCCACTGAACACTACAGCCCTTTCGTAGACCGATAACATTCAACAACAAAACCTGCAATGCTAAATAATTAGGAAGGACAGTCTCTTTTTGTAGATAAGTAACACTGATACTTTTTTATTATAATTAAGGTTGCAATTACGTATTAGCAGACTTGTACATTCAGAGTTAAACATTTATACATGTGGAATATATACGGCCCTTGAAATGTTTGAACTATGAGATCTGTAGAATCTGCAAAAAAAGCAGTTCTACAGTTTTGAAACTAAATATAATTGGTTTCTTTGCAAACCCGGTCTCCCACTCAAGACACGTTGTTAACGTAATTGTTTGGTGTAAAATTACTAGGTATCCGTTTGATGTGTTTTTGCAACATTTTTTGTGTTATTGTTTTGGGTACTTGTAATCTCAACTGCTAATTAACTCCAATTCCATTTATCTCCTTAGATAATGATACAAGAATAATTAACGTACATGAAACAATTTAGAAATAAAGTGTCTTCAAATGCATACAGATTTGGAAAACCATGTTTTAACCAAAGGAACATTTTAACGACGTTCAAAACTTTTTTATACCTTGACAATATGAATGATCTTTGGAGCAATTCTTGTAAAGTGGGATTACACTTTCATAATTATCTCAGTGGGAAAAAAAGGATCACTGTTACAGAACATTACTTCATGTTATATAAAATTTCCCACGGTAAAAGTTATCTTCAGTAATGTACAATATCTTTCCTGTCTCATGTGGTTTTATAATGTATTTCTTGTAGCTACATCTTGTCGCTAAGTCTGGTACATATGATAATTGTAACCAGAGCGTATTAACTCCACAGAGAAATTGTCACACTGTCACACTTATGAAAGTGACAGATGAAATAAAGACAACTGTCATTTTTAACACACATATACATAAAGGGAAATTTGTATCCCAAAATTTAAGCAAATACAGGTATAATATATAAACCTAACTTAATTTTATGTGTGAGAAACAGGTAGATTCTTAGATTTCTATATAAAAAAAAACTCTATTAATAGGCAAGTTATAACAATTTAGTAGCCATTCCTTTAAACTACTTGGAAATTGAGGGTTCTTTATTATCACTTGCACTATCCCCAACAAGGTTGGGATAAAGCAAATGTAGGAAATGTCATGCAAAAAATGTTTGCACCCACTTTGACTGTTTTTCATACAAACATATGTAATTAGCCACAATGACATAAACACATACATAACTAAACACATACCTCAATCTATTTAGCAATATGCTCACACGCACAAACATAGACTCGCAGAAGCATGGATACATAGAGATATGCTAATATGCATACACAGACATAATAGTTTCGCTGCCCTCCTCCCCATTTTACAATATTATACGAAATTGTGGGGCTGCTCACACAGGTATGAGCACACTGCTCAGCACCCAGGATGTAATTATGGGAGCTGCTCAATCATGACCCCCACCCGCACAGGACCCCCAAATGGGGTAAATCTACTTTTAACAAGCATGCAGGTGCCGAATTTAAGAAGCATCTTCTAACCACTCCAAAAAATATATGCAAGCAAACACACATTCACAAACACATAATCACGCATATTCTCACACACCAAAACATATCCATTCTCTCTCTCTCCCACACAAACACATACATAGACATAAGACCTACACAATGTTCATAACATTTCTAAAATGTATATTCATTGTGTCATATACATATCTTCTCCCAATTTATACAACTTCTAGGCATTAAAACGCCTTGCTTGTGTATACCATTGGTTATATCTCAGATATATAATTAGCATCCCCTGCTTTGGAATAAAAACTTCCTATTAGGTATAAAACATGACACATTTTAATACAATAAGATTGTATTCTTGTAAAAGGTGATTCAATGTCAGGAACATCCAATATCACATTAAGTATTACTGTAATTTTTTTTGCCAGAATCATCCATGTTATTATCTCTGCCTGTGTATTCAGAAACATAATCCATCTCACTCACTCACTCATACCACTCGGCTCTTGTTTTCAGTTCATTTAAAAAAAAAAAAAAAAAGTTGATTGCATTTCCTGAGACAAACTAGCTTAGATTGAAGCTGATCATTTTCTACCGAGGAACAATTCATTCATACTTTCTGTAATCATCGTCTGATAGACAGGTTATGTGGGGTGACCTTTCAAGGTGCTCGTACATAAGATACTTATATCTGCCTAACTTCATGTCCATCTTATATCTATTACTGTATAGAAAGTACAAAAACACCTGATACTCTCCTTAGTTTATGATTTTTGATATTTTAAGGTAAATTAATTTTACTTAAACCCAAAGGTAACTGATTCTTGGATGGTACTGTAGCGTGTACTTACCTTTCTCAAGCCGTGCAGCCCTCCTCCTGCCGCACAGTCTGACCGAACCACGCAGCAGGACATCTATGTATAAAATGTAGGTGTGACATCACGCCTGTTCTTAAAGTGACCACGTCATTATTGTGATGCTAATCTAATTTGAGTCACAATGATGACGTGGACCAATCAGTTACATACATTGGTAAGCCTATTTAAGGCTTGCTTTAGCCCCCATTCATTGCACTACCATGGTTTCTTGTAAGATTCTTCTTTAGTGCTCCTAGAGATTCCCTTGTGATTTCCTGTGTTTGACCTCTTCAAACACAGGAAATCATGTTTGACTTGTGATTTTCTGGTATCCTGACCCAGCTTCGTATTTGACTTGTGATTTTCTGGGATCATGACCCGGCTTCATATTTGACTTGTGATTTTCTGGTATCTGACCCGGCTTCGTATTTGACTTGTGATTTTCTGGTATCCTGACCCGGCTTCATATTTGACTCGTGATTTCTGGTATCCTGACCCGGCTTCATATTTGACTCGTGATTTCTGGTATCCTGACCCGGCTTCGTATTTGACTTGTGATTTTCTGGTATCCTGACCCAGCTTCGTATTTGGCTTGTGATTTTCTGGTATCTGACCCGGCTTCGTATTTGACTTGTGATTTTCTGGTATCTGACCCGGCTTCGTATATGACTTGCGATTTTCTGGTATCCTGACCCGGCTTCATATTTGACTTGTGATTTCTGGTATCCTGACCCGGCTTCGTATTTGACTTGTGATTTTCTGGTATCCTGACCCAGCTTCGTATTTGGCTTGTGATTTTCTGGTATCCTGACCCGGCTTCGTATTTGACTTGTGATTTTCTGGGATCATGACCCGGCTTCATATTTGACTTGTGATTTTCTGGTATCTGACCCGGCTTCGTATATGACTTGCGATTTTCTGGTATCCTGACCCGGCTTCATATTTGACTTGTGATTTCTGGTATCCTGACCCGGCTTCGTATTTCACTTGTGATTTTCTGGTATCCTGACCCAGCTTCGTATTTGGCTTGTGATTTTCTGGTATCCTGACCCGGCTTCATATTTGACTTGTGATTTTCTGGTATCCTGATCCGGCTTCGTATTTGACTTGTGATTTTCTGGTATCTGACCCAGCTTCGTATTTCACTTGTGATTTTCTGGTATCCTGACCCCGCTTCATATTTGACTTGGGATTTTCTGGTATCCTGACCCCACTTCGTATTTGACTTGTGATTTTCTGGTATCCTGACCCGGCTTCATATTTGAATTGTGATTTTAGGGTATCTTGACCTGGTTTTTGACTTGTGATTTTCTGGTATCTTGACCGGCCGTGTTGGCTTGTGATTTTCTGTTATCCTGACCCAGCCCATTATATGACTTGTGATTTTCACGGTATCCTGACCGGCTTCGCATAATATTTGACTTGTGATTTTCTGGTATCTGACCGGCCGTGTTGATGCGATTTACTGGTATCGGCCATACATATTATTTGACTTGTGATTTCTGGTATCCTGACCCGGCCGTGTTGACTTGTGATTTTCACATTCCTGGTAACCATTATTTGACTTGTGATTTCTGGTATCCTGATCCGGCCATTATTTGACTTGTGTGATTTTCTGGTATCGTGCGGCCGTATTTGACTTGTGATTTTCTGGTATCCTGATCCGGCTTCGTATTTGACTTGTGATTTTCTGGTATCCTGACCCGGCTTCGTATTTGGCTTGTGATTTTCTGGTATCCTGACCCAGCTTCGTATATGACTTGTGATTTTCTGGTATCCTGACCCGGCTTCATATTTGACTTGTGATTTTCTGGTATCTGACCCGGCTTCGTATTTGACTTGCGATTTACTGGTATCCTGACCCCGCTTCCTATTTGACTTGTGATTTCTAATTATCCTGACCGGCCGTGTTGACGTTTTCCTGGTATCACGGCCAACCGTATTTGACTTGTGATTTTCTGGTATCCTGATCCGGCTTCGTATTTGACTTGTGATTTTCTGGTATCCTGACCCGGCTTCGTATTTGGCTTGTGATTTTCTGGTATCCTGACCCAGCTTCGTATATGACTTGTGATTTTCTGGTATCCTGACCCGGCTTCATATTTGACTTGTGATTTTCTGGTATCTGACCCGGCTTCGTATTTGACTTGCGATTTACTGGTATCCTGACCCCGCTTCATATTTGACTTGTGATTTCTGGTATCCTGACCCGGCTTCGTATTTGACTTGTGATTTTCTGGTATCCTGACCCGGCTTCGTATTTGACTTGTGATTTTCTGGTATCCTGACCCGGCTTCGTATTTGACTTGTGATTTTCTGGTATCCTGATCCGGCTTCGTATTTGACTTGTGATTTTCTGGTATCTGACCCGGCTTCGTATTTGACTTGTGATTTTCTGGTATCCTGACCCGGCTTCATATTTGACTTGGGATTTTCTGGTATCCTGACCCCGCTTCGTATTTGACTTGTGATTTTCTGGTATCCTGACCCGGCTTCATATTTGAATCGTGATTTCTGGTATCCTGACCCGGCTTCGTATTTGACTTGTGATTTTCTGGTATCCTGACCCCGCTTCGTATTTGAATTGTGATTTTAGGGTATCTTGACCTGGCTTCATATTTGACTCGTGATTTCTGGCATCCTGACCCGGCTTCGTATTTGACTTGTGATTTTCTGGTATCCTGACCCGGCTTTGTCTTGACTCTGCTTATTTCTGTATTACTGACCTTGATCTATTCTTGACCTTGTTTCTCCCTATATTAATACGTTAAGTCCTGCCATTCAAAAGCTCCATAATACGTCTTTTGGATCAACCTGTTGTGAGTTTCCTCTTTCCTGCGTGTCGGGGTATGACTCCCATGACAGGTACACATTTTGTGACTTGAAAGTTTATTTTTCTCAAGTAAAAACTAGAACACGTCTATTATACAATATAATCCATTACAATGGCAACTAGTAAAATGTTTACTTTTATTTATTCAAACTTGCTGCAGTTTCTCCTTAATAAATACGGTTCCAAGGCTTTACCAACACACACCACTATAATTATTTTCCTTTTTTATTTCAGAACCAGCATTACATTTAAATAAAGTAAAAAGTCATGTTTAAATAGTTCATAAACCAGTAAATAATATCTGTAATGTATTTCTAGCTAAAACATGTACCTTGAGGTGACATGTCACAATCAAACATTACACCAATCTAAATTCTGTTTATAATAATTTCATGATATTCACCAGAACATTAATTATATGGAGCACATGTGCTCATGTATATTCAGAACAATTATCGCAGACAGTAGTCACACATTGTACTACCTGGTCAAAATGTTTAGATAGATATGACACAGAGTGTACAGCCCTCTCAGACTTCAGCCAAATTATTATATTTTATTAAAAAGTCCCAGTAGCACTGTTTGTCTACAGAAATATGGATTAGAATTTGGAACTAGCATTCAATGAGTTGAAATAGATGTTACTAAAATATATTAGAATGTGAGTCACATGAGCCATGCAAAACACTCTAGCACAAGATTAGTGATGTCGCGAACATAAGATTTTGGGTTCGCGAACGGCGAACGCGAATTTCGGCAAATGTTCGCGAACCCGCGAACCGGGCGAACCGCCATAGACTTCAATAGACAGGCGAATTTTAAAACACACAAGATGTTTCAAGGGGACTAACACCTGGACTGTGGCATGCAAACTCCGATCCGCGGCTGCATCTT